AATTAAATTGCTGCTCTATTCCCACACATCCCCAGTGTATCCCAAACATGCCAAAATAACTGAGAAACACATGCTGCTCTCACTCTGTAGAGCAATCAAGGTAGGGCTCTTGAACCTCTGACTGGAAACAGTCACAGAGCAGATATACAGAGAAACATGAAAATTTCTAACCGAGTTAAACTAACTCCAGCAAGTTCTCAGTTTCTCTTGTGCTTCCTTCAAAGTAGGTTCAGTCACTACAGGAAACTTTAGTCACATTAACTGATAGATGGCAAATTAAATCAAACCCACAACATCTTTCACAACTGCTGCCCTTAACTTGTTACCACTATAAAGTGCTCCCACTGACAACAAATTCTTGTTTTTTAATAGACTCTGGCTTTTGTTCATTTTTGGGTCATATTTATAAGCAGTCACAATATTTCTGAACTGACGGTCCAAAATCTTTTTTTCCCTTCTAGTTTGGTTGTGTAAGAGTATTTCATATGTTTGGTTCATTAACTGTATGCTGTCTTGGAAGTGAAGGCAAAAGTTCTGCTTCAAGGCATAATCTGCATGTAGCTGACAGCAGCAATTCATCAGGTTCTTGGATTTAAATATATATAAGTCTGGGCTTCTAAACCAAGTACATCTCCAATGTCTGTTTTTCAGACAGCATTTCCTAAAAAATAATAACTTAATAGTTAAAATAGTATAATTGTCAAGATATCACTGTATTATATAGGCTGTAAACAAGGCTATATGCATTTAAAATCATAGAAGCCTCATTGCCTAAGGTAATCTGTGGTAGAATATTATTTATAGATTCATACACATATTCACCCTTTTATATCAGACCTCAAATATACCTGGGGGAAAGTCTGGGATTTCTCATTTGTAAGATATTCCTAAGAAGACAATTTAAAAGTTCTATACTTTATGAACATTTAAAATTACATGTGTTGGTTTATTAAACTTATACTATTACTTTGTATTTTATTTAGGCAACCTTTCTTTTCCAGCAAGGTTGAAATCACCTCAAAGAGAATTAAAGTTTCCATATAGAGAATTAAACATAAAAAAACCGCAACAGATGAATTTAATGGAGGGGTTACCCTTGGTTTTGATTCTGGTACATTTTAACTGTTCAGAGCCAAATGCAGCCCAGAGCCAAAGTAGAAGGAATATGGACAACAAAGAGCGTCATCACATCTAGGATGATGATGTGCCATCCAGATATGCCATCCAGAGACCTCTGATTGACAGTGCTAGAAACTCTTTACAGCTGTCACAACTGCATTTGTGCTTCTGTCCTCTCCTGAAGAGGTGCTGATTGCCAAAGTCCCAGTTCAGGCTTAATCTCATTTTGCTAGGCTTGGGTCTCCCTCCACAGTGCAGCTCTGTAACACCCCCACATCTTCCCCCTGTCAGCCTACCAGTGCAAAACAACTCTAGCACACACTGGTAGGTTCAGATTTTGCCTGAGGTCAGTGGAGTTAAGGTCACTTTTTGTCCAAGACTCACAAATTTTACTTTGCTTGATTTTTTGTTGTTTGGGGGGTTTCTTG